AATTACATTGGCACTATTGCATATTGACATATATACAACGACCTTTTAATGTTTTTGGTTCTTCGTATAGTGTACATAAATGTTGTTTATGACTAGCGAACTATTGTTTTCAGTAAACAATGACATCAACATACATTCTTTTCTTTTTATCTTCCATCTATGCGAGATAGATCGAAAACAATCCTTTACTTTGTATCGAAATGCGTCCATAAATGCTGCCCCAGTTATTTTGAAATGTAATATACATAAGTAAATCAACTACTTAATATTGAAACATAAAACTTTTTATTTTAATAAAAGCAAAAGTTTTTTTTTTTTGTAATTGACAATGTCAGCAAAGAAAGACTATCGAAAGTGACAGAATTCAATTTTGCAAGTTGTTTTCAATCTATATCATACAAATGAAAGATAAAAAGAAAAGAATATATGATGATGTCATCGTATAGTAAAAACAATAGTTCGTTAGTTATAAACAGCATTTATGTATGCTACACGAAGAACGGAAAACATTCACTGGTCATGGTATATGTGTCACTATGTAATAGTGCCAATGTAATTGCACGATGTCAGTTAACTTCACCATAAAGATAGTCTTTCTTAGCTGACATTGTCAATTACAAAAAAAATTTTGCTGCTATTAAAATAAAAAGTTTTATGTTTCAATACCAAGTCGTCCATTTACTTATATGTATTATATAAGAAAGAAAAGCAGCTTTTTGAAAATTCTCATTCAATCCCTTCATCTTACTTTTAGCAAGTTGAAATTCTACTTTACCTTCATAAGAGAGATGTCTCGTTATCATCCTTATTCAAGAAATCGCGTAGTAAGAATAGACAAGAGTGCCGGTGCAGGTGATCATGCTCCACATATTAATTTTACTCATGCTAATGGTGATGTTCAAATTGAACTGAAAAAAGTTATTCAATCAGGTGTACAACGGTCATTACTTCTAACACCAGAAAAGTTCTTTGAAATTTCACATAAAAGTGATGATATATATGCAGCCGGCAACGCAATAGCTGGTGAGTGCTTCATGAATTACTTAAACTTTAACCACTACTAGTTGACAGCACTCATCCTTTTCAAACTGAATCTACCTAGTTTCTATTAGTTTTGAATCGAATGTTCTTTTTATCTATTATAGATTACCACGGAAAAAATAGTGCAACACAACCGCCTAGCGCTGCTGGACCTTTTAAATTCATACTTCGTTCTGACTGTGATAATGATAGATATGAACATATGTATGAATGGGAAGTACCGAATTCACAGCTGAGAGTTAGTGTTCGTAATCGTCGAAGTGATGGAAAACGACCAAAAGACGCACAATTTGTTGTTGAAGTGCGTGTTTTCGGTTCAAATGGTTTACCAACCGATGAAGGAATCATGATGGCATGGCATAACTTTAATGGTGAGTGTACAGAAAGAAATCATGCAAATAAGAACTTTGAACCAATTGTAAAGCAAGGAATATAAACTTTTTATAGTTATTGCAGTAAGATCTGCCTTTTTTACTATTTACCGATGATAGACTGATTTTTTAGATAAACGCGAGAAACGAACAAGCAGAATAGCTTGCTTACATTTTCTTTGCCAGAGGAAGCATGCTTTTGCTTGAATTTAAAAGAATGCGCAGATTAAGATAGTTTGAAGTCTCACAGTCGGGGTTTTTGAAAGCAACATACCTAAACTATGATTTTCAAACCCGAGGTAGAATCGAGTTCTGACATTTGTTTTGAAATTATACCATTCTTCGTATGGAACACAAGAATTTAGATCACGATTTTTGAGCGAAATCTGAAATCGTGAATGAATGGGAAAGCAAAGGTCGACTAAACCCTACTTGATTGAAAAGTGTTTAACTGTTCTAAACTTCACAAGCTTGAAATTTAACAGAGTCTTTGATTTATTCATACAGGCACCTTTGTTCATCATCGACGAGAGCGCAAGAATAGAATTCAAGAAATGCGTCGAAATGGTGTTTTGAATCCACTAGAAAACTTGAATACAAGTAGCACGGCGTCAGTTTCAGCAACCATAAGTTCATCCTCAACAACAACAACTCGAAATATACCAACATGGACTATCAACGAAAAGCAAGCTAATAACGATGTGTATACATGTGTCGTAAGTTGTTTCTTCAACTTCTTTTTATAATTTTCACTCGCTGCATAGCAAATTCATACTTTAAAACGTGGTTTTGCTCACCGTGTGTTTATGGTTGGAGAATAAATTTATTCGTGTTACATTCAGAAACATTGAAACGACTTGTCTACTGCAAGATACCTACATTTGATTTCTTGTTGAGAAATATGAACAGTAGAGCATCAAACTTCTATCGGTTTCTGCAGAAAATTTTCTCATTCTGCTCAGAAAAATATTACTTCATTTTAGTTCAGCTGGAATCCTTTCAAAGTATCATCATTCACGGCTTCATTCATCGGAATATCCCCTCAGCTAAAATTAAATTCGCTCAGAAAAAAAATGACGTTTAACACCCGTGTTTGTTCTTCACGCTTCCTATGTAGCTATTTCCAACGACAAAAAAATCTTTTTCTACTTTACATTTCAGATCTGTATAGACACGTATACAAAAGGTGAAACTGTCAATGGCTTACCAAATTGTACTCATTTCTTTCATTGTAAATGTATTCAAGCATGGTTAGTTGGAAGCAATTCGTGTCCGACATGTAGATCAACAGTTTAAATAGTTTTCATAGTCTTTTATGTATCACTTTACAAGAAAAGAAGTTTGTTTTAATTAAAATACCACCCATATAACCATGAAACGCGTTCCAACGTGAACGATTTCAGTTTGGGTGGGGTGGGGTGTGGGTGTAGGTGTGGGTGGGTGTGGGTGTGGGTGTGGGTGCGGGTGTGGGTGTGTGTGGGTGTGGGTGCGGGTGTGGGTGTGAGTGTGGGTGGGGCGTGGGTGTAAGATGAGTCGACCCACACCCCACACTGAATCACGGGAATTTCGGAAGAATCAGAATTTCAAACAGTCGTGGATTCAGACTTTAGGAGTATAGACGTGGGTGTCGGTGTAGATGTGTGGCGATGTGAAGAGAAACACCAGTAGTCACGTCTACAGTCACACTCACACTTCCAGAACCTAAAACCCAGATTGCTCTAAATTCTTATTCTTATCATTATATTAAGATTCCGATTATTTTTGTTATTCTGCAATTCTGATTATTCCGTTCATTCGGAAGCTTTGATTATTCTAAAATGCTGATTATTCCAGATTTCTCATAATTCAAAATTTCCAATAATTCTAAAATTCTGATAATTCCAATATTCTGCTTAACGTCATATTAATGTGGCTAAAATTTATGTATGATAAAGGAATAATTCAGCATTTTGAATGAGAACTCCAGAATTTTGGAAGTTTGATACTACTGTTTCTACCACAGATCTTTTACAAAAATAAATACCAACCACTTGATTATCTTTATCAATAAAAGTGAAATACATCTTATGTATTGTGGTAATTTGTCTCACCTTCGAGTAAATCGATAAATTGTGAAATATTATTCAATAGAAAAAAGGGTTGTTGTCCCGAAGGCTGAATTAGTTATTGTTTGCAATAGATGCTATCTATTCAAATCAGGAGTGTTTTTTTGCGCTCAATTTATTGTTCCATTAAAGGTTCACATGTTAGAAGAAGTGAAAAGAAAAATTAGAAAATAATACCAGGAAATACGTATATAATTCAATATTCATACGTCAGTTTAGATGTGTAGACAAGAAAATATATGTACATACATATATAAGAAAATAACGATATGATAACAACAAGAACAGTAAAAAAAAGAAGAGAGTATGGATGCTAGTGACATCATTTGTCGAGATATTTAGCAGAGCACGGCATGTTAGACTCGATATTATTATTGGTCTCTAGTTTATCTAATTATTTTTCTGCACAGCATGAATCGAATGCTTATCGTGTTATCTTGTCCTTGCAATGTTTAGATGTTATACAGTAGCTAATTACTTTTGTAATTTACTTGATAGAAATAATTCTTATATAGGTAAATCCGTGGAATTTCTACCATTTTCATGCGAAAAAAGATTTATTTGTCGATTTTCCCTTACAGATAAATGTAACATCGTCGAAAACGGTGTGTAGACAAAAAGAATTTTTGTGCGTAAAGTTTGGAAAACTAACTCATTAATTGGGAGCAACTCGGCTTTTATACCGATATATCTTCAATTTAAAACTGGAAACATTGACCATAAAAGTCGAGTTGTTTCGAAATAATGAGTTAGTTCTCCAAACTTTGTGGTTAAGAAAAAATTTTCCTTCAACTTACCAACCATTTTCGACGATGTTACACATCTATCTAGAAGGAAGTGGGTGTGGGTGTAGGCATGAGTGGGTGTGGATATGAGGTGTGGGTCGACTCATCTTACACCCACACCCACACCCGCACTTTATGATCTATCTTCAGTAGATCCACAAGGATGCACCATTGAATCTTTGTGAAGATATTTGATATTTACGGCATTGTATGATACAACGCCGTGATTGTTTTCAGCTTCACCTGAAATACCAACTTTCGAATTTCTAATTGAAATTTTGCGCAGAGAAGGGTCTCAATGAGACTAGTTAATTCTGAAAATTTCAAATTTCTTGGTTGTTCCTATCCTTAAATATCAACATTTAATATTTTGTGATATGAGTGATATGAAAAAGAATATTTTTTCTTATACTCGTATCTGAGGATAAAATGAATCCCAAAACCAAGACGTTCATAATAAACTTGTTTCATGAGACCTTTCTGTGCGCAAAGTTTCAAGTCAAAATTCGAAAGTTGATTTTTCAGGCAAACCTGAGAAGGACCATGGTTTTTTGCTAAAGAATGCCATAAAAACTAAATATCTCGGCAGAAACAAGCTAGGAGCACGAACTGTTTTCATGATGTTCATAGCTCATTAGAGTCTATCTAATGCACATAGTCTTGATTCAAAAGCGATTTGGTAACTGGAAATTGCTTCTAGCTCCCTTTTTCTGTCCACTGTATGGGTGAGAGATCACTGGGTGACTGCGAATAATCTGTTCATTGTATAGACTGTTTGCTGGTTCATGTTGTAGAGTCATAATGAATATTTTACTTAATAACATCAATCTTTATAATCAATGGAAATGAATGAATCAATATTAAATCATTTATTTCTTCCACATTATCTACCACCTTCGGCTGACGATGATTTTTTAATTCAACATAATCATCAAAATGAACATAAGATACTGGAATGTATGCAAGAATATTTCAATTCTTCCGAATTAATCAACGCAACGAATGTATTATCAGTATTTTGCATTCTTAGACATTGCATTGAAAGATGGTGTATCTTACAAAACTCTCAAAGCTTGTCTGTATCAAAAATACAATCTACTATTGAACATCTACCACCCGAAAGTTTTCTTCCTCTTTATTTTCATGCTCAGAATGCTGCAATTTTGATTGAAATAGATGAAACTAATAGTAATCAACCGTTGATCTCAGCATGGCAAGTCTTATTACCGAGTGAAACTATAACTTCTTCTCTTATACCGCATCTTTCCTGTTTTCCTGTAACAACATACAGACTAGACAATCGTTGTCAATTAAGCTCTAAAGTTCATTGTGAATTGTTGGCAGATTTTATGTGCAACACTGTTGAATATTCCAAATCTTACAAATCATCTTGTGAACTTAATGAAATACGCGAAGTACCGAAATCACATTATGTATGTCAATGGTGGATTCAACACTTCGACGGAATAAAAATCGAAACTAGTACCAATTTATCTGTTCAGTTTACGAAAAAACATCGCGATCAGATTCGATGGAATCATACACTATTACCTTTTCGACGTTCTGGTCTATGGATAACCATTAAAGTAGTTTTTCATACTATTTTAACCAAACGCTTGGGAAATATTGGTACAATCGTGTACAAATTATTGATCACCCATTTTCTTACCTATGTTATGTATACGAGACAAAATTCGACTAATTTCAATATATCTACTGATTTATTAGTTCATTGTATTCGAAAAATTGCACGCAGACTGAATAAAATTGAATGTTTGTTAACATGTTTAGAGACGAACAATATAGTGACATGGATCCAGCATATCAAACAGCAAATAGAACTAAAAATTGATCAATTTTTTCCAAAATCAAATTGGCAAAACTTTATTAAAATAACCGAAGAAAAGAATCAAAGAGTATCAATGAACAATTTAAAACTAGATGATGATGCAAAGATGTATCAACATTCGTGTCAAAAATTAAAAGACTATTTGAACGATCAGATGTTGAGCAAAACATGTACATATTTTTCAGATGTCGACAAAGATGATGATCACGTTGATGTCAATCAAGTGGATTACATACCTTCCATTGAAAAGTTAACGAAAACGTACAATTATTCTATTGAAATAGTTTTGATTCGTGTAGAACTTTGGGTTAGATCACGTTTAAAGCAATGGATCAACCATCAATCCGAATCAGTAAATGGGACAAATCGATTTGAAATTTTATTATGCTTCTATGAAGAATATCAGAGTATAGCGTTAAATCATTATTGGTCCGAAAAGGGTCCAACAGATCCGATCGGTTATAGTCGATTTATATTAACAGCTTTGACGATTATACGTTCTATGCATCACAAATTATGTAACAATTCAAGATTTGAACGACTGAAATTACATTCTATTGATATTCCCAATCTTATGAAACTGTTCGAATTTTTGATTTTACCAAATCGTGAAGATATGATTGAAGCGCGTGATCTTTACAATTATTTTCATCAATTCAGTAATAAATCATATCCTGATCTTTTGACAAATATACATTGTGTTAATGCATTTGGTGTATATTGTGCCGGTCAATCATCAGCGATGAATGAGAGTATACAGGAAATTAGAGTTCAGATTGAACAAGACAAGCAAAAGAAAATAGACGAAGTGAACAAAAAAAAGCAACGATATATGGAATTAATAACTATAGTAAATACTGATTCTTGCGAATGTAATGTTCACGGTCAAAATAATCGATGTCATCGATGTGAAATTCAAATAGAAGCTAACAACATTAAAGCAGAAATCTATGAATATCCATTACCATCCAGTCTGGAAGGTACATTAGCCGTTATTTTTGAATTACAAATGCCAATTGAAATCCGATGTTACAGAGATATTCTCTGGCAATTTATTAATCGTCCTAATCCAAATCTAAAGAATGATATGTATGAATGGTTAAGTGATCGTGTTCCTTACCATAATAAAATATTAAGACCGTACTATACTAGTTCTCATGACTATAAAGTAAAATTAGTGTCGTCGACAAAATCTATGAAGCAAAGCCACTATTCTACTCTGCCAATTGCATCTGCATCTGTCGAAGATTTTTTATTCGAAAACGGTTTGAAAGTGCAAATCTCTCCAACAAAACCAATTAAATTTGAAAATGAATGCCATATATTAACAACTCAACTTGATCATCCAGATTACAAACAGTTACAATTCACTATTGAGAGTACACAGTTCGTACAAAATCGTGTTATTGCTCAATTATCCGATTGTCCATTACAAATGAATCCAACGCAATTTGTGGAATTTGGTTCATTTCGATCAGGTGATCGTTTACAATGGTGGAATCTATTGATGATTTTTGAAATGGATTCTTTACCTATTGCTGAAGAAAGTGTAGCAAT